AAAGTGGTTTTAATTTGCATTTCCCTGATTATTAGTGATGTTGAACATCTTTTAAGATGTTTCATAGCCATCTTTACTTCTTCTTTTGAAAACGTTCTGTGCAGCTCCTTAGCCCATCTTTTAATTGGGTTACATCCTTTCTTGATTCTTTGTTTTTTGAGTTCGTTATATATTCCGGATATTAAACCTCTACCAGATGTGTTGCTGGTGAAGATTTTCTCCCATTCTGTGGGTTTTCTCTTCACTTCCTTGGTTGCTTCTTTGGATGTACAGAAGCTTTTTAGTTTAATGAGGTCCCATTTGTTGATTCTTGACGTTGTTTCCTGAGCAATTGATGTCCGGTTTAGAAAATCCTTCCCACACCTATATCTTGTAAGTTATTGCCAATGTTTTCTTCTAACAGTTTCAGAGTTTCAAGTTTCACATTGAGGTCTTTGACCCACTTGGAGTTGACTTTTGTGCAAGATGAAAGATAGGGGTTTAGTTTCATTCTTCTACAGGTGGAGATCCAGTTGTGCCAGCACCATTTGTCAAATATCAGTTGGCTGAAATTGCATGTACTCGTATTTGGGTCTTCAATTTTGTACCATTGATCTATTCTATTTGTGTGCCAAGTACCATGTTGTTTTTATGATTACAGCTCTGTAATACAGTTTAAAATCTTGTATAGTAATCCCACCAGCATTGCTCTTAGTGCTCAGGGTTGCTTTAGCTATCTGAGGTCTTTTGTGCTTTCATATGCATCTTAGGATGTTTTTTTCCAACTCTGTAAAGAAGGTCATGGGGATTTTGATTTGCATTGCATTGAATCTATAAATGACATTTGGTAGGATGGTCATTTTCACAATATTAATTCTTCTCATCAATGAGTATGGGAGGTCCTTCCATCTTCTAATGTCTTCCTCAGTCTTTTTCTTTAAAGATTTGAAATTTTCATTGTAGAAGTCTTTAATGTCTTTGGTCAGGTTTACTCCGAGATATTTTATTTTATTTTTTGCAGCTATTGTGAACGGGAGTGTTTCCATGTGCTCTTTCTCTGATTGCTTGTTATTGGTATATAGAAAGGCTATAGACTTTGGT